GTGACAAGTGCATTTTTTCCACTTGGTATGTGTGAAATATCATTGTTTAGGTCAGGATTTACAATTCGAAACTTTTGCTTGCAGCTTGAAGCTATGGGTTTCGATCGGGCGCTAGTACTGGAGGTATACTTTGCATGCAACAAGAACGAGGAGCTGGCCGCCAACTATCTTCTTGATCACATGCACGAGTTTGAGGAATGATGGTGGCAATTGGGTTTTCTTTGGTCTATCTTTTCTGTGTCTAAACACTTTGCCATGTGGGTTTAAGTTCAATAGGGTTTCTTATACTCTTATTCCAGCAATTTGTCTTGTATCTCCAAGTAGACGGTGTCGATCCCCTTTTTATGTCTTGGATGGCATAAGTTCTCTGTTTCTAAATATTGGTTACCATATTATATACAGAATTCTTCTCTTGAAAAAAGTGGATGATTTCGGTTTTATGTATTCGTACCTAACCCCGTATGATTTTCGTGATTCGTATTCAAGTTCTGTATTCTGAAGACGCTTTTGCAGCAGTTGCTTGCTGTGAGAGCTGCTATCGAAGACATGTAGTTTGTGCAACTTTAAAGTCGATTGATCAAGAGATCAAGACAGCGAAATGCACATTGCCAGGAGAAATCTCTTGCATAAGATTGGCATCGACGAATGCATACCAACATATTGAACTACACGATTCAATTGCAAACGCGAAACGAAGTTTGAGCGAAACAAATGTGATCGGAACAACGAAATGTGATTGGAACTTGGAAGATGCAGTCGATATCATCTGAAGAGAGATGAGAAAATCTAACAAATGTGATTCACAAATAACCAAAATGTGTTATAAAAGAGCATTGCTAACTATAACACACAAACACAGCAGCTTAAAACTCAAATTTTCTACATAAAAGCTTACACCAGGTTGCCGCCGCTCTGCTGCCACAAATTGATGATATCGGTAGCCTGATTGAGAAGGATAATCATCTGCTTCTGAGATATCCAGGGCTTGCTTTCGAGCAAGACCTTGAGCTCCTCCCACGCATCTCTCCTCGGCCAGAAGTAATAGGGGCTGAGAGGGATGGAGCCGTGGCCGGGTATCATCTGGTCCAGCGCAATGCCGATATTCTTTTCCATCCAAATAAACTTCAATACGAGCCTCGGTTTCTCAAATGGCTTCACCACCACTCCAAGCTTCTATATCATCCAAAAACAGAAGCAGGGTTTGGCTATAACTACAAGAGCAGTGTTTTTCAGACCTAATACTTGTATTTGGTAATTGGAAAAGTGTGAAATCAAAAGGTAAATTCAAGTAACCAATTATATTCATAAGCACTTTCTATAGAAGCACTTTTATCACAAGAACTTCGAAATGTTTACTTTTTGAAATCCAAGTGCTTTAGAAGAAGCACTTAGCACTAAAGAGAGTTTTCTAATGCATAAGCACTTTTAAAATTTTCGGCAAACTTCGCCAGAAACGTTTCTAGTAAGAAAAACGCTTTTAGCCCCCTTAGAACAATCCATAAGTATGGTTTCATGCTTATAACTGAGTAAGATAAATTTCAAATTCTGCAACCTCAGAAAAAATCCAGAGAAAAAATAAAAACAAATTCATTCAACTCAGCTCAGCATATAATTGTTGATAAACCCAATTATGAATTAACCTTAATGTTAAGGAATATCACAATGTCACAGTTCTAAATTACAGAACAAGACAGACACGGAACACAAAAACCCAACAGAGATACTGAGGAGGAGAAAAAAAGAGACCTTTTTTTTCCGGGGCGGTGTTGTCGTCATCGGTGGCCGTTTCTTCGGCGAACAGAGACTCGGCGGCGGCGGAGAGCCTGACATTTCTTGCGGCACGAGTGTATCCGAGCCTCAGCTCTGGCAGCGAGTGAGAAACAGAGAAAGAAGAAGTCTTCGGCTTCAAATTCAATGCTCGTTGATTAACATTGTTGACAAATAGAAGCTTTTGCTGCGGCAGCTTCAGCCGCAATACGGCGGCGTTCAGGTTTTCCTTGCACTTTATTCCCATTCCCACGGATAACATATTCTTCTTCTGTTTAAGTTCTTATCTTCCGCTTTGAGTGGAGACTCAGAGACAGATATCTGTTCATGTGAAGAGATTGTGAGAGGATAAAATGCCATCTCTCTCTCTCTCTCCCTCTCTCTCTCCCTCTCTCCTTGTTTGTTTCTTGTTCTTTGGGCTGGTTCTCTCCCCCTCTCTCTCTCCCTCCCTCCTTGTTTGTTTCTGGTTCTTTGGGCTGGTTTGGTAACCCAGGCCCAAGGTTGAAAGACCCAGATTAAATCTAGCTGCCTAGCCCAATCCAAACCGGTCCCAAGATGAAACATAACTCGGTGATAGTTCTGCTGGGAGGGGATACTCCGGTTGAGCAGAATCATTGTTTGGGTATATTTTCAGATCAAGTTCCTACTCACAAGGAGCAATACCAAGGGCTTGTGGGGGTGTTAATCAACTTGTCTCACATGTGCTTTGATATCATTTATGCAGTTAGCATGGTAAGCTAGTTTTTGCATTCTAGTAGTAAAGGTCATATGGATGCAGTAATTCGTATTTTGAGATATTTGAAGATGACTCCAGGCAAGAGCTTGGTTTTCTCGGAGAAAAGTTATTTAAATGTTGAAGGGTATACAAATGCATTTTAGGAAGGTTCTATTTTTGATTGGAGGTCTACATCTGGATACTTAATGTTTATGGGTGGTAATCTAGTTACTTGGAGAAGCAAGAAGCAGAAAGTGGTTGCGAGATCAAGTACAAAAGTTGAGTTCCGTTGGATGGCTTATGGAGTGTGTGAGTTGTTATGGTTGAAGAAGTTGTTAAGGGATTTTGGTTTTAAACCCAAGGGTGCAACAAATCTTCATTGTAATAATTAACAAGGATGCTATAGAGATTGCTTATAATTCCGTGCAACTTGATCGTACAATGCATGTGGATATTGGTCGGCATTTTATCAAGGAAAAACTAGATGTCGAAATTATTGCTTTTTCGTTTGTGGGATATGAAGATCAACTAGCTGACATGCTTACTATAGATGCGTCTAGTAGTGTGTTTTCAAACTCGCTTGACAAGTTGGGCATGAATGACATCCTTGCTCCAACTTGAGGGCGAGTGTTACGAGTTATATGTGTAAATATTAGTTAAGTGTAAATGGTAGTCTTTTGTCCCACATCAACGAAGTACATATGTAATATCACTTGTAATTCCTATATATATTTCACTTTGGAGATTAATGAATATATCAGAAATACCCAATTATTGTTTATATCTATTCATTATAATCCTTGGCAAATATGACTTTTAGACTAAAACCATGAGTAAGATCAAAATCGAATTTTAGTCCCTTGATACATTAATCACCTCATTTATTAATTATATTTTGATGTTTTAATTATTTCTTTTTTTCTTCCTAATTTTCGTGGATTAATTTTTTTATTATAATTTTCATTTTCATTTCATTCATCGTAATATATTTTGTTGTAAACATTTAGATAAACTAATTTTTGTTATACAATACATTTCGATGTACTTTATCTTATTCATTTAGGTATATTAAATTCATTATTATACATTTTCGGTGCATACATTTAGGTACACACATTTCGTTACATACATTTCGATACAAACATTTAGGTACTTTAATTCAATTTAATACATTTCGGTATATACATTTTCAGTACTAACATTTAGGTGCATACATTTCGGTACACACATTTAGGTACTTTAATTTAATATAATGTATTTTGGTGCATATATTTCGGTACATACATTTCAGTACTAACATTTAAATACATTAATTCAATATAATACATTTCGGTACATAGATTTTGGTACATTAATTGAGTCATTCAAGTTTGAAGAATGTTAAATTAATAAATTAAAAAAAACTTTTTTTTAGGTCAAAAAATAAATTAAAATTTGTATTATTAATAAATTTAAATATTTAATGGGAGACATTAAATAAAATACACATTAATTATTTTGAATTAAGGACTATAATCAATATATAATATAACACTAGGTTTATTTTAAATTTCAATCTTCTTGAGGACTATAATCAATATGTAATCCAACACTAGGTTTATTTTAAATTTCAATCTTCTTGAAGGATTAAAGTTACAAAACCCCTTTTCCAAGTTTAATTCAAAAAAATTCGCATGTTGTAGGAAGGGGATGATGTATGTATGTTATGGGAAGGTAAGTCTGGAATTTAAGAAGGGTTTATTCAATTGAGTATTCAATCAGAATTTTAAATGAATATATGAAAGTCCAAGGTTATTCAATAAGAATTTTAAACGAGTTTATAAAAGTCCATAGAATTTGTGTATTTAATTTAGATTTTAAAGGAGTCTATAAAAGTCCGAGTGCATTCAACCATGATTTATAAAAGTGAAGGATTTTTTTCAAAGAATTTGGAGAGATTTTATAGTGTAGTTTACACTTTAATAAATCATGCCCCGATGTAAGTCCACTAAAATTTCTATTAAACTCTGTTTGTACCATACTTAGGGCCTCCGTATTCAGACCTCGTATAAATACACGGGGAAGTCAAATGTAATTATGTAATCTCACTCTCCTCATTAAATGAGGCCAAGTTTGAGGGCAAGGCTTAGGCCATAGAGCACACATAAAATAGGCTAGAGAGCACACTGCCTCTAGCCTTCTTGTATATTCGCCATTCAGAGTGAAACAATATCAACATCAGTGTGGACGTAGCCCAAACATTGGGGTGAACCACGATACATCTTATGTTCTTTACTTTCTTGCAGATTCACGGTCGGATTTACGTTGTTCCAAGACCCCTCCGGTTTTGTGCATCAACATTTGGCGCCATCTGTGGGAATCGATACGAAAAGTTATGCGTGTTCTCTTTCATTTTTTTCACCTTCACCGTGAATCTGCAAAATCACAAAAACCCAAGAAACCAGTCCCTTCCTATCCAGATTTCACATTTCCAAATGCTGCTTGATTAGCCTCACTACCATCAGCCAAACAGTGAAAAATGGAGTTTTGGAAACTGCTTCTGGCATCCAGGTCCTTCTTGGCTTCGTGGGTTTTGGCAGTGGGAGGCCAGAACTTACCACCCTGTTCTTTTCCGGCAATTTACAACTTCGGGGACTCAGATTCCGACATTGGCGGCATATCTGCTACATTTGAGTCAATCAAACCTCCTAACGGCGAAGCATTTTTCCATAAGCCGGCCGGGAGGGCCGCCGATGGCCGCCTTGTCATAGACTTCATAGGTTACTTTTATTGGTTGGTTAGTGTGCTGATTGAGTTTGTTTCCACTATGCCGAGTTGGGTTCAGGTCTCCTCCCCAACAATCCAGATTCTCCTGGCGACACCACCAACATGTGAATCTGTATAACTCGCCGTGGTCGGCGTCACCGGCGCAGTCGGTTAGGAGTCCCTCTCCGTCCTCCAAGACCGCGACTTTCCTTTCTGTCCAATAAAATGCTCGCCTCCAAGCGCTCCGCGGGTCAGAGTTGGAACTTCATCGGCCAAGACTACGTCGTTGAGGAGCTCACCCACGACAGCTTTGACGGACAGAAACGAGACTGATATCCCCAAGTTCAAGAGCTTTTTTCGAGTCAGGTTTTCGATTGGATGAAAAATACTAAAGACACCCAGCAAGGAATGAAGGATAGAGAGGAGTCGAAAATGTTCCCCGATTTCTCGTTCCAACTGGAATTGAGGCCTGCTACTAACTTCAATCTTCTTCTAGCATGGTTTCAGTGTTCTGTATTTGCAGAGAGATAGAGAGTTGTTGGTTGTAAGAGCACCAGTCTGTCACAAAACCCTTGTTTTCTTCCGTGAAAATGATGAACAATGACGGCCTGTTAGCCAAGACGCTCTACGACGGCCTGGCTTCAGAGATGCAGTGGTCGTTTTCAAACAAGCCAAAAGTCGTTCTCTGGTGGGATTCAGCAGCAGGAGGAGCAGCAACAGAATAATAAAAGGAGAAAGCAAAAGCAAAAGAGAGAAGTGCGGTGGAAAAGAGAACGACAAAAGCAAAAGAAAGAGGTGCAAGCTGTCACTAATGAGTCCTATTCGTCGGTTCAAGCGAGGCAAGCTTCAAAGTTGCAGAGGAAACAAAAAAGCAAAAGAGAGAGGTGCGGTGGAAAAGAGATCAAGAAAAGCAGAAAGTAAAATCAGAAAGCAAAAGAAAATAAGAAGAAGCAAACATAATTGCGGTGGTGATAGCATGCAAAAAAGGGAATTATGGGCGTGACCCATTGAGCAGAGGGTCGGATTTATTTTTGAATGATGTGATTTATTTATCTTTCAGACACATCTGTATAACCCCATCAGAGGATAATAAAAAAAAAAAAAAAAAAAAAAAGGCAAGCCCAAAATAATGGGTTGGAATGTTATGTGGAGGGCGAATGCCCATATGCCCAAAAGAGCCAGGCTCTCTATTATCACCAACCAGATGATCAAAAGTACGTCTAGTATTACAAAAAATTATTCGGCAGCCTGCCGCTATTATCACAAACCAGGTGATCAAAAGTACGTCCAGTACTACAAAAAATTATTCGGCAGCCTGCCGCTATTATCACCAACCAGGTGATCAAAAGTATGTCCAGTACTACAAAAAAATTATTCGGCATCCTGCTGTTATTATCACCAACCAGGTGATCAAAAGTACGTCCAGTACTCCAAAATTATACATGAGCATCACTCATGTTAATTATACATAAACATTCATGAGCATCACTCATACCAATCATACATAAACATTCATGACCATCATTCATGTCAACATTCATGAGCATCACTCATGTCAACATTCATGAGCATTACTCATGTCAACATCCATGAGCATCACTAATGTCAATCAACATAAACATTCATGAGCATCACTCATGTCAATCAGCTTTGAAAGCTTCATTTACAGAGCTCCAGCTTCGAGAGCTCTAGCTTCAAAAGCTTCATTTACAAAAGCTCTAGTTTCAAAGCTTCACTTGCAAAGCTTCATCTACAAAGCTTCAGTGCAGGGTATACAAATACCGCATCCGAACAACCGCCACTTCGGCCCATACATGGATTCAATTTGAAGTCTCCAGCCAACAGACTCTATTGACTGAAGACTTGGGGGACTACATTATGTACCATATATTTGGCTTCCGCAACTGGGCCTCATGAAAAATACTTGGGGGACTTAGCCCATTATTTATGTACTGAGGAGCGAACCCTTATTCTATAAAAGAGACTCCCTCACTTTCATTAGAGAGCACCCATCATTTATGTATTGAGGAGCGAGCCCTTATTCTATAAAAGGGACTCCCTCACCATCATTAGATAGCATCGCCGCGAGCTGAGCAACCGACTCGCCGCGAGCATCAACTCTAGCCCATCACTTATGTATTGAGGAGCGAGCCCTTATTCTATAAAAGGGACTCCCTCACCTTCAACGCCACAAGCCGAGCCAACCAAGGCAACATAAGCCACAAGCCGAGCAGCCTCGCAACATGTGCTACTTCTAGTTGAGCATCATTTCACATTAAGCACCGCCTCATATCGAGTATTCAGTTCTAGACGATATCTAGTTACTTCGGCCCACACATGGACTGAATTTCAAGTCTCCAGCCAAAAGACTCTCTTGACTGAAGACTTGGGAGACTACTGTTTGTACCATACTTAGGGCCTCCGTATTTAGACCTCGTATAAATACTCGGGGGACTCAAATGTAATTATGTAATAAAGGAATGGGCAAATATGTAATAAGTGAAGAGCCCTTATTCTATAAAAGGACTCCACACTCTCCTCATTAAGGGAGACCAAGTTTGAGGGCAAGGCTTAGGTCATAGAGCACATAGAAAATAGGCTAGAGAGCACACTGCCTCTAGCCTTCTTGTATATTCGCCATTCAGAGTGAAACAATATCAACATCAGTGTGGACGTAGCCCAAACATTGGGGTGAACCACGATACATCTTGTGTTCTTTACTTTCTTGCAGATTCACGGTCGGATTTATGTTGTTCCAAGACCCCTCCAATTTTGTGCATCAACAAACTCCATGAATTTATAACTGTTATAAAATCTATCAAAATCTCAAGTAAATACATCTGTTTAAAATCACTCGTTCAAACGCACTAATAATCTATCATTATATGCAGCAGACCGGGCGAGATGGCTTTCAGGGGCTAAACGGTAATTGACAGAGTTGATGACCCAACTTGCTTCAGTAGCAAGGGTGTGGCAAAGTCCTCATGGTAAAGGCTGCTAGCTAGCTTCATCCTGCAGAGCCAACGCACAATCCACCAAAGTGAAATGAACACAATCAAAGAGAAGTAAAAACAAGTAAAAGCAAGATAGATAGTAATTAAGTACCTGTACATAAGCAAAGATTCAAGTGAAGTTACTTGTAAGTTAACCCTTGTCCTACTTCAGTGGCCAAATATTTTGTCCTAAAAACTGTTTTTCCTTGCAGTGCTGCTTCTCTGCCCAACTTCCCTGCAATACCGTGGCACACTAGTAGACTTCTGTAACTTTCCCATGTCAAAGATATTTCTCTGGCCTACATCTGCTTTAAGATCAAATCACCATATTTCCGCAAAGGAATCAAGCTTGTGGTGTAACTGAATATATCGAGTGGTATAACATTGCAGTTCCCATTCGAATTTCCAACTCGTACAATTATAATGTTTCCACGGTATAGATAGAAAAAGAAGACAATACTTTCAAATTTGGAGTATCTACCCTTTGAAATATATGCCATGCTCCCGAGCACCTATGACAGATCACGCAGAAAACCCACGAGACAAAGAGGAGTACGAAATTTTTTATCATACTAAGACCCACCTTGATGTGTATGCTGTAGTCTTTTTCACACGATGAGACGCCATCGAATTGCTGAGCAATATCAGAGAAGTGGTAGAAGATCAAAGAAGATCAGAAAAGAAGACGATTCAGATTTGGAAGAACAGAGAAAATCGCAGGAAACAGATCAGGATGGAAGAGAAGCAGTTAGGCAGAGAGGCGGGTGATACCATATAAGAGTTACAATTGAATAAGAGTTACAATTGAGTTTATATACACTTCCCAATAATGATTACTAACTAATCAAGCCTAACTAATCACACTAAGACTACAATTAGTTAAGCAACACAGTTCCTGTGACTTTATTTATAGTAGTAACCGGTGAAGAATCATTGTCATTCAAGGAAATACAATCCTAGTAGGGAAAGAATAACTAGTAACCAATTCTATCTAAGATTTACACACAATCACACTTTAATATAATATTTATAACATATATATATACACAAATACACACATGGGTACATTCATCAAAATTAACCAAAACATTATTGTACCAAAACATGGGTACATTCTTCATAACCACAAAAAAATAAAATAGATATTATGCTTAATAACATTTGGGAATTTTTTTGATTAAACTTGACATGGATACATTTTCAAATAAACAAAAAAGAATGTACCCGTACAAGATTAAAAAATGGATTAGAAAAAAAAATTGAAGGGTACATTTTGTATTAAAAAATTGTACATTTTACATATCACAGATTGGTATATTTAAGAATGGGTACATTTAAGACTAAAAAAAATTGAAAAATTATATGAATGAGTACAATCTTTTTATAAAAAATTAACGAGTACAAACTTTTATTTTTTATTTTGGAAATGTTTTGAATTGAAAATTAGTTATAAGTTTAATTGAGGTGTGAGTGTTAAAACCGTAAATCAATTACTAAATTTTTATTTTAAAAAATTATGTAACTGACATGTAAAAGTATTAATACATTAATGTTAGAGACTTCAATCAAAATCTGAAAACTAATAAGGTCTCAGTCAATGAACATAAATAGATATGGACCGGATACTAATTTTTTCTTATTCGAAATACGAGCTGATATATTACATGTCATAATACATCTATTGTTGTTAATGTTGATAACATTTGTGGAAAGGTTTCTCATGTTTGAAATACATTTTAAGCTAGTAACACATGAATCGTCATTTCAAAGTTAAAACATTCTTAGATGTATATGTAATTTTCATAAATATGATGTCTATGGTCTTGGTCCTGTCACGCAATGAATTACCATGTCCGCATGTCCTATTTTAATTGTTATGTCTTTGATGTACTTTTCCCCCTTTTGGGATTTCTTCAATGAATTCATATTATCAACATTAAAGTAGAGCCTATATAGCTTGTCTTAGTAACTAACTCAAAATAGAAATTCATCAATAAAGAAAACTCAAAAATATAAATTGAAGTTGAAAATTCTTTAAGGATCGAAAGCGCATACATAGTTGTCAAATTGAAAGCGCATACACAATTGTCGAATAGAATGCGTATACATAATTGGACAAATAGAAAGTGCATAAATTGGCTTCTCTTTACAAGTTTCTTAAAAAGTAGCAAATCCAAACCCAACTAAAGATAACATAGGAATTCAAAACAAAATTTTCTGGTTCCTGTAAAATATTCCCCGTCCAAAAGTAGAAATGAATAACTCAACAAGCAACGGAAATTGCATCCAAATGAAGGAGGTAACTGGAACAGTGGCAAGCAAAATGCTTGGGACAACAATGGAGGATTTCTCGTCAAGCATAATGTAAAGGCCACAAGAAAAAACAATCATCATTGTGGCGATAGATAAAAAGAGGGTGACAAGGCCTATTATCATTTTTATGGGCAAAGATTTGTAGAAATCATCTTCAAAATAACGTGACGTGAGAATGCCCAAAAACATGATAACGGAGGTTGTCGAAGAAAAGAGTGAGATTGCATCTGAAACTATAAAAGTTGTGTATACCTTATTAGTTAAGAATGTAGGAGGACCTGCCTTTTCATCATTTCTATCATTTCCACCAGGAACTGTGAATGCTGCAGCAAACATGATGGTGACAATGAGAGCACCTACAACTGTACAAGAAGTTGCTGTTTCCTTCATTGACTTTTCTGCCTCCTTCCCCAATTCTTTGTGATTCTCCGTAAATACTTTTCGTGGTGTCTTATCATCTTTGTTTACAGATTCAAGATCCATGGGATTTGCAATCCTCTCTACCTCCTGCATTTTTTTTTTTTGACAAAATTATTTATGGATGTGACTTTGAAATCTTTATCTCTTCATATAAATCCTTGAACTTTTGTCGTTTGAGACACCAGATAACCCAAAATCAATAGTTAAGCATGTAGGATGATAGTATAGTAGGTAGTTAAATAATAATGTTTCCCTTTTTAATTTTTTTTTCTCGTCTTGTGCCTGTGGACAAAATTTCTGTTTTTATTTTTAATTTTTAAAGAGAGTAATTTATGCTTTCTCTTCTTTTTCTTTGAAATTGAATAAATAAGTAGCAAAAATATGTGAAGGAGTAGGAGAAAATTATAGTCACAAAAATATATATATAAACCAACATGTAGGCAAAATGTTTCATAAATATAAGCTTATGTAGTTGGATAGATAGATAAGTAGTCACCTTAAACCATTGTAGTTCTCTTTGCATTTGCAAAGCTGCGCCTTGAATGTCATGAATTTGTGACGATGGGCTAATAGTTGCTACCGTATGTAGCATATTATTCCCAAAGTCATCTTTCTTACCCAGATAGGATTCTGTTGTCCCCACTCTATTCATTTCGGCAGCAGGATAGAAGTATAATCTTTTACCTTTCTTGCGCAACTGATCGTGCACATGTATAAGATTATAAATTTTGTGGTGACGGCATTCAGCGGCAATTTGGTATAGGTTCTGGCCTTTTTCGTTCTGAACTGAATCAAAGTCTAATGTGGAATATTTGAGAAAATAAAAAATATACTCCACATGCCCTCGTTCTGTTGCCACGCACAATGCTTTGATCAATTTTTGTCTTTTTAAAATATTCCTATCTCCTTCGCTCACTTTCCACATGAGAGGTAGAAACTGCTGGACCCGCTCATGCATCAATTTCTTCTGATATATATGAGTGATTCCTAAGTTTATTAAAAACAAATACAAAATTACAATCATTTTAAATTAATATCTAAACTACATATATTAATAGAACCCTCTGTCAACTAAAAGATGATGAAAAGACCATTTAGTTTTCTATCACACAAAAAATTATGAGCAATAACGTAATTTCACATAACCTAATTTTTTTTATTTATTGAAGCATAACCTACAGATTATGTTAAGACATATCTAACATTAAAAAAACAAAAACAAAACAAAAACCTCACACTCCCACTCTCACTCCCATCCACGTTCTCTCTTTCCCTCTCTCCTTCTGATTAAAAAAAGAAAAAAAAAGTGTGTACGCATATTCTAGTTGATTATTAGTAAAAATATCATCAAAAAATCAATTAACGATATAATTGTGTATTTGGCCTACCCAAAAGTGTTTGGAGATTCGTCAGTAGTCCTCGGAATAAAGTCATTCCTGCATTACATGTCAAATTTGATGACAAAAAAAAACATTCTATTCAAATTCCAATAAATAATGAAAATTCATACAATCTACCTCATTTTTAAACACAAGTTCATACACATATGCACCACATGAAACATGAAAGTCATTGAACAACATGAGGAAAGTGAATTACAATTTTGTGTGGATGTTTGAATAAATACATAGGTATTTATCAGTGAGACGGGACTACATTACCGGCCCACTTCCTGGCTTTGATACTATGTAGAATTATCAATGAGACGGGCCGAGGGCCCGCTTCCAATAACACCGATAATGTCCCCAACTTGGTAATTACCACCTGTACAATCCGTCAGGTGTGAGGTTTTATCACAAAACGTCTCAGTGTTAATTAATGTAAAGTTAGGATATTTAAACTCTTCTTTTCTCATAGATACGGTCGATATGGGACATTTCAACAATTTCTTCTCGGAAAGAAGAATTTGAAACTTGGATGAACAGATGTGAGTTTTCGTCATGTACTGTTTATATTCAATTTTAAATAAAAAAAATTACAATAATTTTTTACTCACGATGTACGATGAACGGATGTGATTTGATGATCTCTAGGATCCTCACCAAGAGGATCCAAATAGGTTTCTCATTCGTGGAGTTGGATAGATTTTTTCGGACCTAACACCCTCCCTATCTTGTATGTGCCCCTACCCCTACAGATTAGTGATGACTTATGCTTTTAATTTAATAATTTCTCCAGGTACGATGAAATTGGGTCAAAGATGGTACCATTCCTTAAAGCACCCAATATATATAAAGTAAGGACTTAGGAAAGAAACAGAAAAATGAAAGATCGGCGGTGAGAGCAGGACTCAGTTCGTGAACAGCGTCATATGGGGGACTGCGTCGGCGATTGAGGTGCCGAAGGAGAAGAATTTCGCTGCCAAGTCGACGAAGAAGCTTCCATATGGGGAAGAAATTAAGAGCTCTGCCGAGCTCCCATATGAGGACTGAAGTTGAAAATGCAATTTTGCCCTTGCTTTTAACAAAACTCTTTAATAGAATATTTTTTTTTGGATTAAATTCGCTAAGGCCATCTCCAACCGATGGCTGGCCAGATGGTTCGTTTTAGCCATCTGGCCCTCCAAGATTCTCCAAGATATTAATATTTTAATGAACAGTACATGACCATATTTGCCTCCGTCTCCAACCGAGGGTCAGATGACTCGTTTTAGTCCTGTCACAAAAAACCGTATCCAACCGAGGGCCAAAAGGCCAAACATAATTTATTATTTAAAAATTACAACTTAAATTCAAATTCAAATTCAACGGCTAAGTGACGTCAACTAGCCGTTGGTAGCTGACATCATGCTGACGTCAGCTAGCCGTTGAATTTGAATTTTTTTTTGCAATAAATAGGGTGGATATTGGGATATAATTCACACAACTTTGAATTCAATCTCTTTCAATTCAAGTTTGCAATGAATTCCAATTTTGGATCCTCTTCAAATTCCAACTGGGGGTCCTCATCCAATTCCAAAAGAGAAGCAAAATGGGCGCAAATGAGACGAGAAGATGAGGAGTCTGATGAAGAAGTTCAAGTAAGGCGCAACAAACAAAACATAGCAGCAGCCATGACTGCGGCCATGGTGTGTCAGCCAACTGAGGAACAATCTCAATGGGGTGGCTCTATTGTTGGTCGCTCTTACAAACCACGAAATAGAGCAATGACGCATGCCAATCTGATGCGGAAAAATTGTTTACCTTACACCAAGAGGTATATCGCAAAGATGTTGAGAGAACTTTTGGTATTCTACAAGTATGGTGGAAGATCATCAGCGACCTGACAAGAGGGTGAAGTTGAGAAAATTTGGACTCCATCATGATGTCTTGCATCATATTACACAATATGATAATGGAGGATGAACGAGATGAGTATATTGATAGAGAGTCCGATGACGACCAAGAAGATCCAAATAGATCAAGAAGGGCTCGTGGAAAAATATATGATGAGCCTAATTTGCCTTTCAATCCAAGAACTGGTAGTATCTCTATAGATGAGTACATGAGGCGATGTAGAATGATACGTTCTCGTGCCACAAACAAGTACCTACAACAAGATCTTGTTGCACATCTTTGGGCCCAAAGAAGCATGGAGTAGGCATTTACGTTTTATGTTTTTAAATGTTTTTTAAAATGTTGTTTAAGTTTCATGTTGTATAATTTTTATGTTGGTTAATGTTATTTAATGTTGTTTCATATTGTTTAATGTTGTTTCATGTTACTTAATTTAATTTAATGTTGTATAATGGCTTAGGAAGTTATAGGAAAAAAAATAGAATTAAAAAAAATATGAAACAAATTTTGTGAAATAGAAGTTATAGGAAAAAAATGGAATTTAAAAAAAAATATGAAATAAATTTTGTGAAATAGAAGTTATAGGAAAAAAAATGGAATTTAAAAAAAATATGAAACAAATATTGTGAAATAGAAGTTAGAGGAAAAAAAATGGAATTTTAAAAAAATATGAACCAAATTTTGTAAAATATAAGTTATAGAAAAAAAGTTATAGGAAGTTATAGAAAAAAAGAAGGTTTAAATTCATAAAAAAAAAAATTGAATACAACGGCTAGTGACTGGCTAGCTGTTGGAATTCAAATTAGAATTCAAATTAGGCCATCTCCAGCTAATGGCTGGCCAGAGGGCTCGTTCTAGCCCTCTGGCCCTCTAAGATTCTCCAAGATAATAATATTTTAATGAACAATACATGGTCATATTTGTCTCCGTCTCCAACCAAGGGCCAGAGGGCCATATGGCTCGTTTTAGCCCTTTCACAAAAAACTGTCTCCAACCGAAGGCCAAAGTGTCATAGGGCCAAACATAATTTATTATTTAAAAATTACAACTTAAATTCAAATCCAATGGCTTAGGAAGTTATAGGAAAAAAAATAGAATTAAAAAAAATATGAAACAAATTTTGTGAAATAGAAGTTATAGGAAAAAATGGAATTTAAAAAAAATATGAAACAAATTTTGTGAAATAGAAGTTATAGGAAAAAAATGGAATTTAAAAAAAAAGAAATAAATTTTGTGAAATAGAAGTTATAAGAAAAAATAGAAGTTATATGAAAAATTTTATAAATAAAAAATAATAATAAAACTGTAAAAGAAAATAAAAAATCAAATGCAACCCCAATAGCCGTTAGCTTTAATTCATTATATTCTATATTATTCATGTCGGTTAAAACTGAAAGGAAATCCAACACTTCAAAAAAAAAATTGGCCAGCCTGGGGCTGGCTGGCTAGAAGTGGCCAGCCCTCCAGCCCTCCCCAATTCTGTGGGGCCCTCCCAGATTCCACAGCCCTCTAGCCTAGCCCTCGGTTGAAGACGGTTTTCGGGCTATTTTCGACCCTCTGGCCCTCTGGATCCTTCGGTTGGAGATGGCCTTAGTGTCGGTTAAAACCGACACTGTTCAAAATGATATTACACTAACATTGCTATTAGTGTCGGTTATAACCGACACTAATAATATAGTATATATTATTTCTGTCGGCTATAACCGACAGAAATAACAAAGCATTAAAAAAAAAAAGCCAACCAGGCAGCCCTCTAGCCCTCTCCGATCCCGTGGGGCCCTCCCAAATTCCAGAGCCCTCTGGCCTAGCCTTCGGTTGGAGACGATTTTCGGGCTATTTTCGGCCCTCTGGCCATCTGGACCATTCGGTTGGAGATGGTCTAACGATCTTGACCACATAGATTTCATTCTTAATTTTTTTTACCACATGGATCATCGAATAAGTTCCCTATGACCACGAGGATGATTAATCCAATTTGCCCTGTATGTAATATGTCAATATATCCATAAAATGAGTTATCGATATTTTTGTAAAATTAAATATTTAAAAGGGTAAATCTTAGTTTACTATTTTAAAGTTTATTGTTTTTCAACATTTCATACATCAAGTTTTTTTCGTCCCAGTCTAGTATCTAAGGTCATAATTCTATGAAACTTTCATCTATTTGTTAAGTTTTCCGTCAAAACCTTCGTTATCTGTTGATGTCGCGTCCACATAGTCTATGATTGGAAGCCAAATGTCAATTTGGCTCACGTAAACATTAAAAAATTAAAAAAAATTAAAAATAATAATTAAAATTTTTAAAAAACTAAACCTAAATGGGTAATCAAGAAATTCCAAATGGGATCATATTCCCACGGCAAATCTTCCTCCGTAAATCCTATAAAAAAAAATCTTCCTCAGCAAATGAATTGAGGGCAATTGCGATTTGCTAGTAGCAGCACTGTACGGACCCAAACAGCACTGTACGGACCCAAAGGCCGGTACCCCATTTCCTTTTGAAGCCATTGCAATATCACCTTTGGTTGAGCCGCCGCAGAGCTCTGCGACGAGCCCTGCATTCTTCCGTATAAAACCTAGACTCTCACGACTCCGCAGAGAACAAAAGCATCAGGAACTATGTGGTAATCACGTCGTCCAGTCCCTCGTCACCAAGTCCCTTGGAGCTCATACTCCTAAGGCGGTAATCACGAGGTGGCACGTCACATCACCGAGACCCGCAGCGTCGGGCACCTAGGCTCTGATACCAATGTTAAGTACTCAAGCTCAAGGGAATAGCTCAACCCAAAAGACTAGTCCAATAGGTGGGAGGATCTCAAGGACTTAAGAACCCCTACACCTCCATAAGTGTAGTCGATGTGGGATCATAACACTGAGACGTCGTCGGTGAAGAGTTATGTGTTCAAAGGTAATTGGGTTTGAAGAGGGAGGGGAAGAGGGTGGGGGATGCGGCGGGGTGAGGATGTGGATGGATGGGAGAAATGGGGGAGTTGAAGAGAGAAAGGGGGAGAGGAGGGAGGATGTTTAGGTTTAGGTTTTTTACTTTTTATTTTTTATTTTTTTTATTTTTTCAAATAGATTTTAAGTTCATGTGGGCCAGGTTGACACGGAGCGCTCAGTCAGTGTTTAGGTAGGTCTCACGTCAGTAGTTAACGGAAACTCTAACGAAAAATTTAATATATGTATAAAAATGTTTCAAAATTATGATTTATGTTCCAGATTGAAATGAAAAAAAAAAGTATAAAATAATAAAAGGGACACTTTGGATGCGGTCCCTAACTATCAATATTCTTTGATTGAAACCTTGTTAGTTTTTAGTTTTTGATTGAGGTCCCTGACATTAATGTAATAATGTAAGTTACTATATTTTTTAAATTAAAAATTAAAAATTGAAATTTGTAATTGTTTATATTAATGAGATTTTAAATAAAACCCATAATTTATGGGATTAAAAATAATAAAATATAAATTATACTCTCTATTATATTGTGTGTGTGTGTGTGTACATATATGTATGGGTACATTAACCAAAATTAACAAAAAAAGTTATTGTACCAAAACATGGATACATTCTCAAATCAACGAAAAAGAATGTACCCATATAAGTTTAAACATGGATTAAAAAATTTGAATGGATTTTATATTAAAAAAGGGTACATTTTACATATAACAAATTGAAATATTTGAGAATGGGTACATTTAAGATTAAAAAAATTGAAAAATTATATGAATGGGTACATTTAAGATTAAAAATTAAGAATCTTTTTATATATATAAAAAAACTAATAGGTACAAACTTAATTTAATTTAATTTTTTATTATTTTGGAAATGTTTGAATTGAAAATTAATTAGAAGTTTAATAGAGGTGTGAGTATTAAACCCTAAATTAATTACTAATTTTTATATTAAAAAATTATATAATAAACATGTAAATTCATTATCACATTAATGCTAGGGACTTGAATCAAAATTTGATAACTAATAAGGTCTTAGTTAATAAACAGTAAGAACTAGGGACCGGATACTAATTTTTCCATAATAAAATGTTAAAAACTTTAGCTGATAAACTGAGACCTTATTTAAAACCATTCTCTCTCCCTCCTCCCTCCCGCATCCTCTCTCTTCCGCTTCCCTTTCACGCTGCAACAGCAACCCAGTAAAGACAAGCAGCGTCGACGTCCACCGGTCACCAACGACCGTCAAATTATACCTTCAGAAACTCTTCCGGTCCTCTTTTCAATTCCCAAGTTAGTTTCTACAAATTCGTGGCGGAATTTCCTCAATTTCAGATCTAAGAAACGGTGAAAGCAGGATTTTTGGCCAAACTTGCCGGAATAGGACCTCGACCCAAGAGGTAAAAAGGATCCTCTCCTCTAGATTTGGAATTTTAATTACATTTTGTGTATGCATGTGGAAGACTGGGGAGGGGGAAGGTGAGTCAAGGTTGTCCAAGCTGGGCCGAGAAGAATGGAAGGTTGTGGGTGAAATTAAGGTGCCTTATTCGATTTCGGTTTTAAGGGGCACTATAGTCTGCCCATTTTGTTTATTTTCTGTGTTTGAAGTATTTTGTGTTCATATATTTTGTAGTAGCATTGGCATGGCACTAACAAAAATTAAATTGGATTGCAGACATGTAAAATACCTGAGGAAATGAGATGATGCCCTTGATTCTCTTTTTGGTCACCTTCATGTTTTTCCTTGTTGATGGGAGGAAGAGGTTTTATGCGGATACCTATCAAGATAAGAATACAAGCCCAATCATTAATTCAATGAAATATTCTTTTGAAGCAAGATTTTTATGTTAGGTTGTGTTTGTCCATGAGTTAGGTGACACGATTTAAGTCCATGGGGCAAAGTAAGAATGTCTTCTGAGTTCAGGAGTTGTTGTAAATAAGCCTTTAATGTTTATTACTATACATTGTACACAATATCACAAACATATGAGAGCATTTTTGCTCACTACCATAAACTATGATGTATGTTCACCATACACCTAATCAATTGACACGTGTCATTTCACTTAACTCTAGTTAACTTTCACATTAAATGTTAGTTTTTCAATTTTGAAAAAAATTAACCAAGATAAAGTGAAATGACACGTGTCAATTAATTAGGTGTATGGTGAGCAGGTGGTGAGCAAAAATGCTCCCCAAACATATAACCCTTAAGAGTGATTATTTTAACCGTTCGAGCATTCTTAAACATTCCCAAAGAACTCGGCCCTCAAACCAAACAAATAACAATGAGTTTTTTTAATTAGCTATGGATTGTCACTTAGTATTACGGTCTAATGGTATTTCTTCTCACTTGTAAGGTAGAGGTCCTTGGTTTGAATCTAACAGTGACACAAATTGGACTAATTTCACGTAATTGGTAGACTAATCCAAATAGTAACTCACAAAATTAGACTTATATCAAGTTTTATCTTTTAGAAAATAAAAAGTATAATGAGAAAATAAAAAGCAATAATGTACTAACCATGATAGATCAAATTTTCCCATAAATTGAGTCGGCTTCCACTTTTGAATGCAGAACCGTTAGAGGCCAATGTCACTAAAGGAATATTCTTGTCCAAGTCTTTAGTTATAGCCAATTTTGGGTAACGTTGTATCAAATCCCAAGCAATATCTATATATAATAAAAGTGTGACAAAAGAAGATTGTAAGTATACAGTCAAAATTTGTAACCAAAAAGAAATCACACGGAAAAAAATTGTACCAAGTCTCTGGAGATGAAAACCAAGAGAAAAAAGATGAGCGGCCTGGGAAACATTTAGTTGTTCGTGTGGAGTGAGGGAATAGAGAAAGCGAGCCAATCTTTCCCCCTTTGCCGTCCCTTGGGCCACGAGAACTAGAGGCACACGGTTAGAAGGTACACTAGTAACTATATTGAGGTTCTTTTTAACAATGCATTCAGCTGCTTCAACCCATTCTGGACAATCATTTATTAAACAATCAAGAGCTGATCCGAAGCTGTCTGCTGTTTCCAAGAGTGCGTTTGCCATTAAATCCACCAACTGTTGTATAATGCGCACGCTGCACCTCTTCCTGATTGCGTAGTGAAGAGCTGTTGTATATGGCCAATCTGTCATCCTTGCACTTGCTGCCTGGGGATGTTGGCGAAGAAACTTGATCGCATTATCCCAATCATCAGACTTGACATATTTCACGAAAGTTTCTTGGATGCTCTCATCATGTCCTGCTCCTGCATCCCATGTTACTTAATTGCTAAATTTCCCATACTTGCATCAAAATAATTAATTAATACAATTCCTCTTGAAATAAACAAATGGGAAATTCTACGGAAAATATAACCAATATATATATATATATATATATATATATATATATATATATATATATATATATATATATATATATATATATATATATATATAAGAGGGAGATTCCACTCCTAATTTGAAAACAAATGGGAAGTTTGACTTAAAACTTAACAAAATAGTCCTACATTGGACAATATAACAAAATAATATACAATATATATAGGAAATTTCATCCCTAATTAATATCACCGAGGTCTATCGGTGATGTTAGTGGTTAGTCATACTAGACCTAAAAGTTTATCGTTAATTACTATTAAATAGAATTATATACAATAATTAATTAGTATACATATATACCTCTAGTGCTCAGTGCTTCTTCCATTGCCGACTCTAGCGTAGCATCATGATCAGGCGGGGTTGGATACACATGACAAACTGGCTTGTTTGCTGAAAATGAAAATTTTGATGTTAAGGTGACAGATGTCATTCAATTCTTAGTACTCTTTTTATTTTCCCGTTATGCACATGCCTACGCGTGTCAAGGTAATTACAAACTAGTCCTCATCAAACCAGAATATATAGTTTGACCAAAAAAAAAAATCAGAATATATAGAATCCTAAATCACCTACAAGGTACAAGTACAACCATTGCCGTATGTTTATTTCCTTCAACTTTTCATGTATGTACGTACCTTCATCATGTGAATCTTCATCTGATGAATTTTCATCTGATGAATCTTCATCTGATAAATTTACATACCCTAGCGTAGCATCATGATCAGGCGGAGTTGGATACACATGACAAACTGGCTTGTTTGCTGAAAATGAAAATTTTGATGTTAAGATGACAGATGTTGTCATTCAATTCTTAGTACTCTTTTTCTTTTCCCGTTATGCACATGCCTACGCATGTCAAAATAATTACAAACTAGTCCTCATCAAATCAGAATATATAGTTTGACCAAAAAAAAAAAAATCAGAATATATAGAATCCTAAATCACCTACAAGGTACAAGTACAACCATTGCCGTATGTTTATTTCCTTCAACTTTTCATGTATGTACGTACCTTCATCATGTGAATCTTCATCTGATGAATCTTCATCTGATAAATTTACAGACCCGTAACGAACTTTTTGTACCAAAGTATCCCATGCTTCTTTGGCCGTGGTTTTGCCTTTGATAAGCTTGTAAGTATTATCCCCGCAAGAATTCTGGATTGCGTATAAGGCCTTGGCATCCTTCTTCTTCCAAGCTTTATGTTCTTCTCCTTCAGGAGGTTTCGTAACGGTGCCGCTGACGATGTCCCAAAGATCTTCGGCCAAAAAGTAGGTCTTCATCCGAAAACTCCAATCCTTGTAGTTCTTATAGCTAAGAACTGTAGGAACAACTGTAGTTGTCATATTCAACCTGCCCAGTTATTCAACGAGATTTTATGTTAATCGAGCATATGTGAAAGTAAAAAATGAAACAAAGTTAGCCTGTCTTACTCCTCAGAGCCCCACGTAACTATTGACAAAAAAAAATGACACTACTCTATATAAATGCTAAGAACAAGATAAGAAATCATAGTATATTTCGAAAATAAGGGAAGCAACAAGATCCAGGAACGAAAACAAACCAAAGTCCCGATTTGACAAGGAAGAACCTGCAGTCCAAAATATTAACAATTTTGAAAATACAAGTCTCCAAAATGGTTACAAGATTTGGAAGATGAAGGGAGAGAATGAAATCAAATGAGAGAAGTGGAGAGAAACTTATAGAAACTTGAAAGAATCTCATTCTGACGTAAGATGAGAAATTTGAACTACTAAGACAAGTAAGAATATCATTCTCACAAAAGAAAAAGACCGAAGTAAAGTATAAAATTGGCTAAGGCTTCAATGCTATGTATCATTCAATGTTAAGGGTGTTTCAATCGTTAGCTTTGATTTCCACTTCTACTTGGATATTCTTCTTTTTTTTTTATCTCATCGGTTCATTTTCTTTATCTCTTCTTTCTTTCTTTCTTTTTTTCTTTTTTGGTCTAATTGTGCTCTTATATTTTCTTTTTTTACTATTTCTTTTTTACAAAAAACGATAGGTTGATATTTCATTTAGGGTAATGCTAGGGAGAATAAATTTCTAAATCAAATGATGTGGATGTTGATAATTTGATTACTACTTAAGTGTTGATTAATGTGCTTATTTCCTATTGGCGACACATCATTTGGTTTGCAAGTTTGATTTAAAAATTTGGTATCCCTATCATTATCCTTTCACTTAACATTCTAAACAAATACAGAAGTGTTGATGGGGACAATGCTCCAGTGACCAAAAAATGATCTAGTGTGAATTTTCTCAGACAAGGGAACTATAGTAAACCCCTAAACGGCTACCACATGTACCAAAACTACACACGCCACCATACTAATATGTCACAAAACGATAGACGCAATAGATTTGTATCAGTGACCACAAGTCATCGCCCCATACCACAAAACGATAAATGCAACATATTTGTATCAGTGAATACAACAAGTCATCGCCAAATAACGAGGCCACATAAAGTCATCCCGAATGAGCGATACCACGTAAAGCTAAAAAATTATATTTTGCGTGAAACTAGTGATAGATGTGAAATATGTGATATACATATATGTGCATTCTTCTTGGACACATTTGATAAGTGGAGCCTTCTTTGCTCCTCCCATCATGCATACACTCAGTTTGATCTCTGATAGTGTAAGTAATTGAATACTCAAACTCATTTGATGAGCCCTGTAGGTCAAAATTAACTTAAATGGTATAGGGAATTGATGCCTACTCCTCAAAAGTTGGCAATACCTTCTATTTTCACCCACAATTATTAAAGTCTTGCACATCTCTCTATATCTTTGTGATCGGATTGAAAATGTCAAACAAAAACAACGATAAGAATTAAGCAATTGAACAGTGATTGAATTGATTTTTATACTACAAAACAAGTAGGCAGGTTGGGCCCCACAATACTTTTTATAGGTTAAAGTCTTTTTGGTCATTGTGTACGGTTAAAATCTATTTTAGTTACCAGGTTTTTTATTTAGTCAATATGGTCATTGGATTTTCCAACATTTACAATCTGAGTCACTTTTTATCGAAAAATATAATCATTTACATAGTAAAAACAATTAAAAAAATACTAATAATTTCCTGAGAAGTTAGAAATTTTATTTTAACAAATCTAAACTACTTCTTAACAAAACTTTTTTTGTCAACAAAAAAAAAGTGAAAAGATAATTTGATATTATATGTTATATCACAAAATAAAATCATAGGAGTAATGTACTTTCACACAAACAAATTTTACAATTTTTTTTTTCTTCTCTCACCACATGTCATCATAGCATCTCACCCACTTCTTATTTCTACCCCATGTCTGCACAAACCTTGCAATAAAAAAAACAAATAAAGAAAGCAAAAAAATTGCTCTCATAGTGTGTGAGCTTAGGCTAGTAAAAATTGTATGAATGAAAGGGACACACAAAGCCACCCCTCCTTCCTAGAAAGCCAAAGCAGAGCCTGCGATTTAGACATATGGTATATGTGTCCGGCTTCCAGGCACACTGAAAAATCTCTTAGAATTTAGACCATAAAACGCATTCACAACAAATAAAACGATGACGGCAATCAAAATGTGAAAAAAGTCAAAAGCAGCAAAACTAAAGCAAAGTGCGGAGGGTTAGTTACCCCTGAAGGAACTCAGTAACCCATTATAGCGAGCAACTCTACCAAAAGCAAATTCATTTTGAAGGGCAGCTCTTCGGCTCCACCAATTCCCAAACAAAACCTGGACACCAAGGAAAGAACCCAGATGAATGAATTCACAGGTCCCGCAACTCGGGGAACAAAAAAATAAACGACAAAACATCGACCAGAAGATTGTAAAGCACATACATCCCTTCAAACTGAAGAATCACACCACGTTCGCATCTCTTGATTCTAAAGTACATATATGCCTTCAAACTGAACAATCGCACCACGTTCACAGGTTCCACAACTCAGGGAACATAAAAAAAGACAAAACATCGACCAGAAGATTGTAAAGCGCATACATCCCTTCAAACTGAAGAATCGCAAAACATTCTCTTCTCTTAATTCTAAAGCACATACATGCCTTCAAAATTCAAACCGAAGAATCTCACCACGTTCAACATCATGATCGTCGTTGTCATCTGTCATCAATGCTATATTGGTTTGTAAGAGAGAGATGTAATGTGTAAGAATCAAAATTATAATGAGAGAATCTACTACGATATATTGAACTTCTCTTTCCAACTATATTATAATTTCTACTCTCTTGATTGTTTTTTTTCTCTTATAAAAATCTACTGATAGCATACTTAATGAAGTGGGGGTTTTCTGACCTTTGGCATGAGATCATTCCGATTGGCTTATTTTCTGTTGAGCGCTCAAGCTGAAACGAACAAAAGATATCAGTATATCATCAATGTGTTGATCAACTACTGTCTACATTATAAGATCGTCTCCACAAGAAAGCGGACAAATTAAATCTGCTAATGAAAATCAAAAGAACGTAAAAACAAACCAAAACTGAAAATCTTAACTAGAAAGCGAAAAGTGAACAGAATCGAAAACAGTCAAATAAAAGCAAATTGTACAGGGTTAGCTATCTCTGCAGGAACTCAGTAACCCGTTATATCGAACAACGCCACAAAAGCAAATCATTTTGGAGGGCAGCTGATCGGCTCCAGCAATTCCCATACAAAACCTGGATAAGCACCAAGGAAAGAACCCAAACGAATGAATTCACAGGTCTACAACTCATGCAAACAAAAAAAAACATGGACTAGAAGATTCTAAAACACTTACATCACTTTAAACTGAAGAACAGCACCATGATCGCATCTCTTGCACAGCTTCGTAAGGGCAAAGAAAATGTTGAGCATGCGAGCATATGCACATACTGTCTCTCGCGCCAGGGGAGATGACAAATAAAAGAAGGCAAAAAAAAAAAGATCAAGAGTGGGATTGAAAATTGTGCAAAGCAAGACAAAACAAATTCATAGCTATTCACACAATAAAATCAACATGCATCAGATTATTCATTGTAAAAAATAAAATGACTCCTAAATAAAAATCGTTTAGTAAGTTGAATATTGAAGATCAGCAGGATAGATAGGACATGTAGAATGACAAAAATATTCTATTAAATAGAAAAATTCAGAAAGAGCACTCATTAGGTGACTGAGAAACAATAAACCAAGAACTGAGAGGCAGATTATGTTGAGCAAACTCAGATAAAATTATGCAAAACGTAAGTAGGAATCACGTTCTCAGTTGTATAACTTGATATCTACGTTGCTGAGCGCCGCAAAGAAGTGATAATGCCGGATTCATGATTTCTTCCAACTTGTGTTTGCTTTACCTCTCTTAATAGATTGTTAAGTAGGACCCTCAATAAACAGGAACACCTTGCAATCTCCTGGCCCTGGAACCTTGCCTGGCAAGAAATATTGACCCCTGATAGTAATGGCAGCTCAAGTCAACTATGATATAGGGCCCAAAGTCTCCTTGTGGGTAACCTTCCATCGGGCATTCTGGGGAAGATCATTTATTTCCAACTCTGCTTCAAAGTGCTCGGGCAATGCATCAACTTGAATTTTTGCCACGTTATGCTGCAAATTCATGGCAGCTGCAATTTCTGCTGCCCGAGCTACCCACTTGTGTCCAACAAGTGCCAGACCAATCCCAGGCACAACGGCTGCTGTTCCTGGTAAAGTTACACCACCAAGGACACCTGGAAAAGAAACAGGTAATCCACCATTGGGAAGCAGTTGGGCAGCAGAGACATGGGTCTGTTTAAGACTTTACATGCCAAGACTTTAGCCTGGTGAGGGAACGTGGCAGAAAACAATACAGTCTGATGATCTGACCGAATATTTTGAACAATTTGATTGATTTGAAGTTCAAAACCCAAGTCAAACATTCGATCAGCTTCATCCACAACCATGTAAATCACCCTCTGCATATTTTTTATCCTCCCTCCATTTGTACAAAGTAAGTCAATCACCCTACAAGGGGTACAGACGACAAATGCAGCACCCCACTTCAACTCCGCGGTCTGTTGGGCACAACTGTGACCCAGTGCCCTGGCAAACTTGTTAATAACACTGTGAATCTGCTGCACAAGCTTCCTCCTCGGTGCCATTATAAGACCAATAGGCCCATCCAGCTACCACAGGTGGATGGTCCTTGATATGCCTCAGCATTGGCAGCACATTTGCAAGGGTTTTGCCTGACCCAGTTTTTGCAATGCCTATGCAATCTCGACCGCTCATAATTATAGCCAATGCCTGAGCCTGAATTGGCATTGGCTTTTCATAGTCGAGCTTCTTTATCGTTTCCAAGATTTTATTTGTAAATCCAGTTTGGTGCCAGGTCTTAATGAGCTTCGGGACATACTTACCATGTATCTTCAATTCCAATTGTTTTCGGTATGCACCCACATCTTCTGGGGTCATTTTTTGAGATCTCCTTCACCCCAATGTAGAATTTTTTCCGGAATGGTTCATAATCTATCTTTGAGTGGTCCACTAGAGAAAGTTTCTCCACTTTTTTGTTTGTCACCCTTTTTGTGAACTCATCATCGTCTTCGTCTTCTAAAGGATTGTCATTATTCTCAATGTCCCCATAATCTGAGTCTGAATCCTTCCCAGGAATTATTCTGCCTGAAGATTTATTTGAACCTTTTTCAACAGAAACTATTGATTGTTCCGCAGCATTGGCCAGCTCCTCAACTTCAGGCGGCACCGTAGAATTCAAAAAAACGTCTAATGGATCAATTCCATCATTCTGCAAAGCAGGTGCAGCTGTTTCATTCTCGGAATCAACCTCCAAGACAGCTTCATCCTCTTTGTGAGTGCGATAGGCTTCTCCGTGAACGTCCATACCCGTCTCTTCATCATCAGATTCTCCCTCAAGAGTCCAGGTCTTTATAGAATTGGGTTCATCAACATTCCCTTCCCCGTGCTTCTCTCCCTCAGCTTCTTTCTTCTGAACTCCAGCCACTACTGAACTCTCCTCCTCCGCTTTTCCATTTCCTCATTCAATTTCTTCTGTTCATCCTCTAACTCCTAGGTTGGCTTCTTCTCTTTCATAAATAAATCATCTTCATCACTCTTCTTTACCGGGCTATCAACTTCACCATCCCTATGTCTATCTGACCTACTTCTGCTCCTTTCCCTCTTTCCCTCTGCAATCTCCTTGTCATCTTTCATACGCGGCTTCCTATCACTCTCCATAACATTATCAACCTTCTCCTCATCTATAACATCACTCCGCGCTCTTCTCTTTCGATCGTTGTCTTCTTCCTTCTACCTAGCCCCCTCTCTCTTCCCCCTCTTTCTCTTTCTCCCCTTCCCTCTCTCTATCTCTAGTCTTCCTATGGCTACCACTCTCCCTATCTCCTCGATGCCGCTTCTCTACATCGTCCCTCTCCTTCCTCAGAATCACAAAACCCGTCTCTCGCAGAATGACTAGAGCACAATCACTCTTATCTCTATCTTTTCACCGATGTCTCCTCTCTCCATTTCTCTCCTTTTTGCCATCTCGACGGCCGCTAATACTTTTCGATTCTCGCTCCTTCCTAGGTTTATGTTTGCCCCAATCTACCATTGCTTCCAGTTCCCTCTTTAACAATAATACTTCTCTGCAATTGAATTCACAAACACAAAAAAAATCACTCATTTTCCTGAATTATATACAATTCAGACAACCACAATCAACAGGAAGGAAACCAATTAAGACAAGGAAAACACTAAAGGGCAAACCCTAAATCCAAACCGAATTAGAAGAAAACAAATTCGTATAATAATTTCAAAAATTTAAGAAAATTCCATGCAGAAAAGCTCGCGAAAGGGGAAAAACGCAGAGTTAGGGTTGATTTTTAAGAAGTACTAACTCATTAAGGTTGTCTTTGTTGTTTACCATACAACCTGCATTTCAAGGTTTTATATGTAATATATAATTCTATTACATCCTTTGGTCCAGGTCACAGCCTGCCGCCCAAACTGCTGCTGTTGTAGCTCCTACTGATTCAAGATCAGATGTGTATGGCCAAGCTGCATCAAACCTTGTTGCAGGAACTACTTTAGATATGGGTGGAGGAAGTTCCGTGCTTTACGGGCTGCTTTTAACAACCCTGAAAGGGCTGTTGAGTATCTATATTCTGTGAGTACTCAACTGGGATATTTTGATTCTTTATTTGTTTTCATGTTGCTAGTTGGGAAATTTAGATGGAAAAGGAAGTTTGATTACAAAAAAAGAGGAGCAAAAAAAATTAATAGTTAATATATTAAACTTGATTAATTAGTAGGTGTGTTTCTGTTTTTCTATCTAACACATTTAGCAGTAGACAAATTTATTTGTCTCTCTGTTTATCTCAGAACCATTACGCTTTCTGTTGATAAACACCTTGTACTTTGTGATATTCAGTTTTATAATGATGATGCTCTATGGTGTTGGTTATGATCCTTTCCCTCTCAGAACTACATATACAATTGAAATTGGCGGGTGATTTGAGTTGGATTATAACTTATAAGACAGACTATAAATTGATGTCCACCAGATGTTTTTGTCATATTTTCTAAGTTTTTTTTTTCGTACAAGTTTGCCGTCAGGGCCTTGAATAAAATTGGAAAAAGAAAACTTATACTTTGTTGGTTGTTTAATCCTCATCAATTACTTGTTTTGATTCCAGTATATGGTATCCCTATATGCATTAGCAAGCAGGTTTAGGCGTTACTATCTGTTGACCCTAGAAATTACAAAGCCTACGTGGCGCGCAGGCCGAATATATTCTAAGCTAACTACGTCCTTCGGTGATTGCGGGGCGTGCCAACTCGTCGGCCGAGGCTCGGCCGAGGAGTAAATTTGATGATGCTGCGTTGGGTCGCGCTACTGACTTCTGCGTCTTGCGATTGCGGCCGAGAAAGGAACGCGTCTCGGCCTCTTGGGTTCTCGAGCCTGAAGACAAGGCTGCTATTTCTTACAAAGTTCACGAACCGAATTCGGCTTACAATGTGCCGAATGTAATAACTGTAACACCTCACCTCGCCGAGAAGGCTAATGAGATGACCTCGACCAACAAGGATTCGAAAACCCTTCTCGACCGAGACTTGGATAGGCAATCGACCGTTCTCGCCGCAGTGCTGTTGATGCCAACGGAAGATACTGCGAGACCGACCGACTCTACGGTGACAGAGCTATCTATGCCGACTTAAGATATCACCGGTTGCTTCCACAGTGCTGTTGATGCCAACGGAAGATGTGTCAGCGAAAAAGGAAAAGAAAAAGATCTCAAGTTGTGAGAGTTTGCGCAGGGCAATTTTGTATTGATTTTTGTGAGGCCTTTTCCATTGCTGAATGTCTTGTATTTATAGAAGCAGAACACCGAGCCCGAGTTCTAATCCTATTCGAACTAGGTTTCCTTCTCCGGATTAACGTTACCTCAATCAGTCCTACCTCTGCTAGGACTACGAATCTAGTCCTTAACTGAGCCGGATTCGCCTTCTAGTTTTACTGATCTCGTCGAGGGTCCCTATTGTATTAGGACTCGACTTGCACTCTGATTTAACCGATCTAGGCCTAGAAGCCCATGAGCTGAAGCCCCCATGACTTTCTCGCCGTAGTCTTCCCGGGCCGAAAGTGATACCTCCCTCGGCCCAAACTGCTATTTTGGGCCCAAACACTATCAGATTGACACAGAAACTGATAATTTGATATACATGTCACCATGTCAGGGCATTCCTGAGCAAGCTGAAATCCCACCAGCGGCCCAAGTTCCTGCTGGTGAACAAGCAGCATATCCTCCGGCAGCAAATCTTCCAGCTCAGGCTCCACAACCGGCAGCACCTACTGGTGGGTCCAATGCAAACCCACTTGATCTTTTTCCCCAGGTAGATATTGTTGATTAGTAATCTATGTACCTCATTATAACGTATAGGGTCAAGTGATTAACAATACTCGTTGAATCAGGGCCTTCCCAATATGGGTGCAAATGCTGGTGCAGGCAATTTGGATTTCCTGCGCAACAGTCCACAAGTATGTATTGTTGAATTATGGTCAAATGACAAAACAATTTTCGACTAAATAAAATAAACAAAAGGAGGTAGACAACATTATAATGTTTGTTGAAAAGATAAAAATAGTCATGATGATGTTTGTAGAAAAAAGGATAAAGGCTAGCAAGTAGCCTTATTATTGGTTTTGTATTTTGCTACTTTATGGATGATGAAGTTGGCAGCCGAATGAGTGAGAGAGGTGTGAGCACCATTTGTTTTAGTAGCCTAGCTTTGAGAGAGCAAGGCAGCCATATAATAGCAGAAAAATAGAGAGCACATATTGGTTTTTTCAGTAGCTCCATTTTGGAGAGAATAAGAAAGTGTGTCATCTCATTGTTTAGTTCTCACTCCATCAAAGTGTTATTTGTTGTAATAGCTTTGAGCTTTGTATAGATAAGAAATTATTCATTATATTTCTCTCTATTTGTTTCTTTGGTGTGTGAGAGCTATTGGTTGTATTGGGGCTTTGAGTTGTAAGCTTGCCAACACTTTGTAAACTCCCATTTGGTTGATAGTAGATTATTGGGTGAGCTCCTACTACTCCGAGGACGTACTCCAGTTACACTGACTGTTGAGGAACCTTGTTAAAATCTTGGTGTCTTTAATATTTTGTTTTTGCATTCAATTTGATATATTTCATATGGGTTAGCTTTAGTTGGTTCCATAAGGCTTGGTGCTATCTTAGCACAACAATTGGTATCAGAGCACTGGTTGCTCTTAGGTACTGTCTAGTTGCCAAAGATGTCAGATGGGCAAGATGAGAATCCTTTTGGAAGTAGCTCCGGATTTGCAAGAACTGCAGTGCAAAATGCAAAGTTCGAAGTGGAAAAGTTTGATGGCACAAACAACTTCGGGATGTGGCAATGTGAGGTCAAAGATGTGTTGGCTCAACAAGATCTACTTGCCGCTTTGGGAGAGAAGCCAGAAGCTATGTCGAAGCCGGAATGGGAGAAATTAAATTTGTGGGCTTGCTCTTCAATTCGGTTGTTCCTTGCAAAAACTTAGAAGTATTTTGTGATGCGGGAGACAGTAGCAAGTGTGTTGTGGCAAAAATTGGAAGACAAGTATATGACGAAGAGTGCAGAAAATCGGCTATACTTGAAGAAAAAGCTCTACCACTTCCAATACAAAGTAGGTACAAAAATAATTAGACACCTTGATGCATTTAATAAGTTGATTGCCGACTTGTTAAATTTAGATAAGGATATTAAGGATGAAGATAAGGCCTTAATATTGTTGAATTCCTTGCCGGATTCTTATGAGCATTTTGTTACCACTATTATGCATGGTAAAGAAATTATGAAATTTGAAGATGTGTCAAATGCCTTGATGAATTATGAAATGAGGCATACAGATAAAAATCATGATGGTACATTTGAAGCTTTATTTGTTAGAGGTAGCTTATCGGAGAGGAGATCCTCTTCTAGTAGTAAAAAATCACACTCTCGACCTAGAGGAAACTCTAAAGGTAGAAAAACCTTGGAAATGGATGAATGTGCATTTTGTCATAATAAGGGTCATTAGAAGAAAGATTGTCCTAAGTTGAAGACCAAAGGAAAAGAAAGTTCTGAAGTCAATGTTGTTGAGGTTGAAACAGATTTTTTTTATTTTGCTTTAACCACTTCCTCATCATTTGATTATGCTACTAAGTGGATATTGGATACGGGTTGTACTCATCATATGACTCCTCACAAGGATTGGTTTTCAAACTTGAAAGAGTTTGATGATGGTGTTGTGTTCATGGGAGATGACAATCATTGTACAACAAAAGGGATTGGTACAGTTCGTTTGAAGTTGCATGATGACATGGTTAAAGAGTTGACAGGTGTTCGGTATGTACCGAATTTGAAGCAAAATCTTATTTCTTTGGGTACTTTAGAATCTAAGGGCTTCAGGTTTCATTCAGATGGGCAGACATTGAAAGTTACTTATGGTGCACTTGTTGTGATGAAAGCTCCTCGATGTGGTCATTTGTATCTATTGCAAGAAAGCATCGTGACAGGTGAAGCGTTTGTAGTCTCAGAAAATATAGACACATCTGATTCATATACTACTAAACTATGGCATATGAGATTAGGTCATGCTGGTGAGAAAGCTCTACAAGAGCTTGTGAAAAAAGGTCTTCTAAAAGGTGCCACAACTTGTAAACTTGATTTCTGCGAGCTTTGTGTCTTGGGAAAGCAAACTAGAGTAAAGTTTGGTACTGCAGTACATCAGACGAAGGGCATTCTTGATTATGTGCATTCGAATGTTTGGGGTCCTACAAAGACTCTCTCTTTGAGTGGTAGACATTGGTTCGTGACTTTGTTGATAATTATTCAAGAAGGTCTTGGGTCTACACTATGAAGCACAAGAGTGAGGTATTGAGCATTTTCTTGAGTTGGAAGAAAATGGTTGAGAACCAGACTGGGAGAAAGATTAAGATTTTGAGATCGGATAATGGTGGTGAATACACATCCGACCTTTTCTTTAAAGTTTGCAAAGAGGAAGGGATTGTGAGACATTTTAGTGTCCGAGGAACTCCACAACAAAATGGAGTTGCAGAAAGATTGAATCGAACCTTGCTTGAAAAGGTTAGATGCATGTTGCCTCAGTCGAGTTTGAGCAGGTCGTTTTGGGCAGAGGCAGTTACTTATGCATGTCACATTATCAACCGGTTACCCTCAGCTGCTATTCAGGGTAAGATACCAATGGAGGTATGGACTGAGAAACCTTCTACTGATTATGATTATATTCATATTTTTGGTTTGCCTGCTTATTTTCATGTAATTGAAAATAAACTTGATCCTAGAGCCAAAAAGGCTGTCTTTCTTGGTTTTAGTAGTGTTGTCAAAGGTTACAGGTTATGGTGCCTATAGATGAAGAAACTTGTAATCAGCAGAGATATGACATTTGATGAAGAAAGTATGTACAAAGACTCTGAGAAGAATGTGAAAGATGTCCAACAGGTGGAGCTTGAGAAAGTTGCCTCTGGTACTTCAAATCCTATTTCCACTAATGTCGAAGCCACTACAAGTGAAGAAGTTGGAGACCATAAGGATGTTGAAGAAGTTGAACTTGAAGATTCTATTCAAGTTGAAGAGCAAATTTCACCTCAAGAGTCTATTGCCAGGAACAAAGGAAAGAGAAATATTACCAAGCCAGTTCGGTATAGTGACTATGTTGTTTTTGCTCTTCCTATTATCATTGATGATATTCCATCCAATTTCGAGGAAGCCATTGAGAGTGAAGAGAATGAGAAGTGGTGCAATGTCATGGGTGATGAGATGAATTCTCTCTTGAAGAACAAGACTTGGGAGTTAGCTAAATTGCCTAAGTGCAAGAAAGCTATCGGTTGTAAACGGGTGTATGCCAAGAAGGAAAGTGTTGATGAGAAAAGCAATGTGAGATTCAAAGAAAGATTAGTTGCTAAAGGGTATGCACAAAATGAGGGCATTGACTACAACAAAATCTTTTCTCCAGTTGTGAAACACTCCTCAATTCGCATTATGTTAGCTCTTGTTGCACAGTATGATCTTGAGCTTGTGCAACTTGATGTGAAGATGGCTTTCCTACATAGTGATTTGAATGAAGAGATCTATATGTGTCAACCGAATGGGTATACAGTGAAAGGGAAGGAGAATTTGTTTTGCAAATTGAAGAAATCACTTTATGGCTTGAAGTAATCTCTAAGGCAATGGTATTTGAGGTTCGATAAATTTATGAGAGGCCAAAATTATTCTAGAAGTCAATATGATCATTGTGTGTACTTCAAAAAGTTGCAAGATGGGTCTTTCATTTATTTGTTGATATATGTTGATGATATGTTGATTGCCTCAAAGAATGTCGAAGAGATTGAGAAATTGAAGAAGCAAATGAAGAATGAGTTTGCGATGAATGATCTTGGTGAAGCGAAGAAGATCCTTGGCATGGAGATCACTAGAGATAGAGAGAAGGGTTTGGTCAGTTTGAATCAAAGACAATACCTTGAGAAGTTGATTCGGAAGTTTGGAGTTCATGATTCAACCAAACCGGTTAGTACCCCTTTGGCTTCTCATTTTAAATTGAGTTCTCTACAATGTCCTAAAACTGATAAAGAGAAGTTGCAAATGAAAAATATACCATATGCTAATTTGGTTGGTAGTTTGATGTATGCAATGGTATGCTCTAGACCGGATATTGCTCATGCAGTTGGCATGGTGAGTCGATATATACATAATCCAGGTAAAGAGCATTGGTAAGCAGCTAAGTGGATATTGAGGTATCTCCATGGTACTCGAGATGTTGGTTTATGCTTTGAGAGAGATGACTCTGGTATTGGTCATTTTCCAGTTGATTATGTTGATTCAGATTATGCAGGTGATCTGGATGGAAGAAAGTTTATTACAGGCTATGTGTTTACTATGGCTAAAGGGCCAATTTGTTGGAGCTCCATTTTGCAGTCGTCTGTTGCCTTGTCTACTATAGAGGCTGAATATATGGCAGTTGCTGAAGCTCTAAAGAAGGCCATTTAGATACATGGGCTGATTAGAGATTTGGGGATTGATCAGAAGTACGTGGAGGTACATTGTGATAGTCAGATTGCCATTTATTTGGCTAAGTATCAGGTTCATCATGCGAGGACCAAACACATAGATGTGCATTATCACTTTGTGCGTGAAGTTGTTGGTGAAAGAGAGATTATTCTCCAGAAGATTCCAACTAAAAACAACCCCGCTGATATGTTGACTAGGGTTATTGGTGTAGCCAAGTTTGTTCATTGTTTGAACTTGGCTCACATTTTGCCTATATAAAGAAGGCGTTGAGCAGTAGGAGTTTTGGAGCATTTGGCTCGGCATGAGTTGTTCTCTTGCTAGTGTTTGGGAGTAATCTTTGTGTTGATTGTGTTGGTTGGCTCGCCATGGTGCTTTCAGAATTTGGCCAAGGTGGAGATTGTTGAATTATGGCCAAATGACAAAATAACTTTCGATTAAATAAAATAAACAAAAGAAGGTAGACAACATCATTATGTTTGTTGAAAAGATAAAAAGGGTCATGATGATGTTTGTGGGAAAAAGGATAAAGGCTAGCAAGTAGCCTTATTATTGGTTTTGTATTTTGCTACTTTATGGATGATGAAGTTGGCAGCCGAATGAGTGAGAGAGGTGTGAGCACCATTTGTTTTAGTAGCCTATCTTTGAGAGAGCAAGGCAGCCATATAATAGCAGAAAAATAGAGAGCACATATTGGTTTTTTCAGTAGCTCCATTTTGGAGAGAAGAAGAAAGTGTGCTCTCTCATTGTTTAGTTCTCACTCCATCAAAGTGTTATTTGTTGTAATAGCTTTGAGCTTTGTATAGAGAATAAATTATTCATTATATTTCTCTCTATTTGTTTCTTTGGTGTGTGAGAACTATTAGTTGTATTGGGGCTTTGGGTTGTGAGCTTGCCAACACTTTGTAAACTCCCATTTGGTTGATAGTGGATCATTGGGTGAGCTCTTACTGCTCCGAGGACGCCCTCCAGTTACACTGACTGTTAAGAAACCTCGTTAAAATCTTGGTGTCTTTAATATTTTGTTCTTACATTCAATTTGATATATTTCCTGAGTTAACTTTAGTTGGTCCCATAAAGCTTGGTGCTATCCTAGCACAGCATGTATATATGCATCTTTGTATTTGTGAGTTTGCTTTTTGCTTTTTTTTTTGCGTGGTTGAGAGTGGTATCTGAGTTTCCAATTCACCATTTCAGTTCCAAGCCTTGCGAGCTATGGTACAAGCAAACCCTCAAATTCTGCAGGTATTATTTATTTGCTGATTTTATTTTGTTCTCCTTTAATTTTCTCAGTTTGGCCGAGACTGTCATTCTAATTATAATTTGAGGACTCACGGCGGTTTACCTTGTTGCAGCCTATGCTTCAAGAGTTGGGGAAACAAAATCCACATCTAATGCAGCTCATTCAAGCTCATCAAGCTGACTTCTTACGCTTGATTAATGAACCCGTTGAAGGGGGTGAAGGGTTAGAAAATCTGCTCTACTTGCCCATTTCTTTGTTGATAATTGAATACACACGGTTCAAAGTTATTGAACTCTATGTTTCAGGAACCTATTGGAGCAGTTGGGTGCAGCAGTGCCACAGGCTGTGACCGTCACCCCTGAAGAGCGAGAGGCCATTGAACGCGTAAGTAGTATTTCTCTATGCATGTGACAAGTGCATTTTTTCCACTTGGTATGTGTGAAATATCATTGTTTAGGTCATGATTTACAATTCGAAACTTTTGCTTGCAGCTTGAAGCTATGGGTTTCGATCGGGCGCTAGTACCGGAGGTATACTTTGCATGCAACAAGAACGAGGAGCTGGCCTCGATCCCCTTTTTATGTCTTGGATGGCATAAGTTCTCTGTTTCTAAATATTGGTTACCATATTATATACAGAATCCTTCTCTTGAAAAAAGTGGATGATTTCGGTTTTTATGTATTCGTACCTAACCCGGTTTTTATGTATTCGTACCTAACCCCGTATGATTTTCGTGATTCGTATTCAAGTTCATGTATTCTGAAGACGCTTTTGCAGCAGTTGCTGTGAGAGCTGCTATCGAAGACATGTAGTTTGTGCAACTTTAAAGTCGATTGATCAAGAGATCAAGACAGTCGATGGGGCTGAACACGAAATGCACATTGCCAGGAGAATCTCTTGCATAAGATTGGCATCGACGAATGCATACCAACATATTGAACTACAAGATTCAATTGCAAACGCGAAACAAAGTTTGAGCGAAACAAATGTGATCGGAACAATGAAATGTGATTGGAACTTGGAAGATGCAGTCGATATCATCTGAAGAGAAGAGAATCTAACAAATGTGATTCACAAATAACCAAAATGTGTTATAAAAAAGCATTGCTAACTATTACACACAAACACAACAGCTTAAAACTCAATTTTCTACATAAAAGCTTACGCCAGGTTGCCGCCGCTCTGCTGCCACAAATTGATGATATCGGTAGCCTGATTGAGAAGAATAATCATCTGTTTCTGAGATATCCAGGGCTTGCTTTCGAGCAAGACCTTGAGCTCCTCCCACGCATCTTTCCTCGGCCAGAAGTAATAGGGGCTGAGAGGGATGGAGCCGTGGCCAGGTATCATCTGGTCCAGCGCAATGCCGATATTCTTTTCCATCCAAATAAACTTCAATACCAGCCTCGGTTTCTCAAATGGCTTCACCACCACTCCGAGCTTCTATATCATCCAAAAAACAGAAACGTAAGTTCCACTGTAACAGCAGCGTCCTTTTTAAAAAAAAAACAAAACGATATTATCTACACTAAGGAGGTGGAGGAATTGGCTAGGCCTCACAATGGGCTAGCAATAATGTGGTTCAAATTTACCTTTGACAAAAATCGAATTTAAGACATCTCACTTACCAGTGAAGAGAAATAATACTAAATCATAGTAATAAATGGCAACAGCAGCGTTTTTTAGAACTAACAATTGTATTTCGTAATTGGAAAAAGGTGTGAAACAAAAGGTATTTCACACCTTTTATAGAAGCACTTTTATCATAAGAAAAGTCGAAATATTTTCTTTTTTAAATCCAAGTGCTTCAGAGGCACCACCTAGAACTAAAGAGAGTTTTCTGATGCATAAGCACTTTTAATTTTTTCTGCAAACATTGGCAGAATCGTTTTTAGTTGTCAGAAACACTTTTAGTCCTTTTAGAACAATCCATACTTATAGTTTCATGCTTATAAGTTATAACTGAGTAAGAAAAATATCAAATTCTACGAACTCAGAAAAAATCCAGAGGAAAAATAAAAATAAATACATTCAACTCAGATCAGCATATAATTGTTGATAAACCCAATTATGAATTAACCTTAGTGTTAAGGAATATCACAATGTCACAGTTTTCTGAGTTTCCACTTTCTCGGCAACCAAACAGAACCCAGGAAGAAAAGCAGCACAATTCTAAATTATAGAACAAGACAGCCAAGGAACACAAAAACCCAACAGAGATACTGAGTAGGAGAAAAAACAGACCTCTTTTTCCGGGGCGGTGTCGGCGGTGGCCGTTTCTTCGGCGACCAGAGACTCGGCGGCGGCGGAGAGCCTGACGCTTCTTGCGGCACGAGTATGTCCGAGCCTCAGCTCCAGCATCGAGTGAGAAACAGAGAAAGAAGAAGTCTTCTGCTTCAAATTCAATGCTCGTTGATTAACACTCTTGACATATAGAAGATTTGCTGCGGCAGCTTCAGCCGCAATACGGCGGCGTTCAGGTTTGCCTGGGACTCGATTCCCATTCCCACAGATAACATCTTCTTCTTCTTCTTCTTCTGTTAAAGTTCTTATCTTCCGCTTTGAGTGGGGACTCGGAGACGGAGATGTATCTGTTTATGTGAAGAGATTGTGAGAGGATAAAATGCCATTTCTCTATCTCTCTCTCTCACCTTGTTTGTTTCTGGTTCTTTGGGCTGGTTTGGT